AGAGAGGCGGACTACGAGTAAAGAGGGAGAGAGAGAGAGAGCCCTGGAGAGGGCCCACATCCCCCAAGGTGCGCGAGCGCGGAGCCTCAAGACGAGGCCGCGGCCGTACGCGCCCCGCTGTCGCATAAAAAAGAAAAATGTGGCGTCAGCGGCGTGCACGGCAATGTGTACCATTTAGCCAGCCGCCCTAATCTCACCTCTGGGCCCGTCCCCCCCCCCTCCCCCCGCTCTACGCTACACGTGCCAGCACCACACAACGAGTAAACGCAACAAACCTTTCCTTTTCTTTTGCTTGCTAAAACTTACCGCCACCACTCCGCATAAATATACAGCTCTCTTTCTCTCTCTCTCACTCCCTCTCTTTTCTTCACCCATTTCGCAGCGCGACAACACTTCACTTTACACCCGGCTATGCTATGCACCAACCCTCCTGCGCGTTAACAAACGCAAGCACCCGCCGCAGCAGCTCGTCGTAACTTCGACTTCAAACACAAGCAGATTGCTCGTCAATTTTAATTTTAGCCATAAAAAAATAATTTTGGTTTTGAAAATCACGACGCGGGCGCAGGTCTTAAACATGGCCTGACGGCACGGCTCGTTTGCAAGGGAGGATGGGCGCGGTCATTGCCCGCCCGGCGTTACTACTCAATCTCACTCAGATTATCGATCATTAGGGCCGATGAGGGTCCCGGCGGGGCGGGTGAGCATCTCCCCCCCCCCCTCCCGGTACAGGCCGTAACGACGCCCCATTCCTACTCGGGTATTTTTACGACCCCCACAATATGCCTTTTCAATAATCGCTCCTCCCTTTCCCAAGCTCTCTCTCTCTCTCTCTCTATCACTCGCTCCTCGCTCTCTATCTCTCTCGGGGCCGTAAGAGCGTGGCGAACGGGGGGAAGGTCCCTACGGCCGAGCGCATCCCAGGGGAGCTCCCCCCAGTCCGCCCCTCCCACGGCAACCTTGTCGTAAACAAGGCTACGCTAAGGGAAAGGGGCGAGGGAGGGGGCGGGGGCGGTGCGCAAGGTGGCG